TCTCCTTAGAGGAGCATAGACCTAATAACGATGGAGTTCAGGTCTGCCTTCCAAATCTGCCGTGTTAACCTGTGGGTTCAAAATTCATTCCTCCTCCCCATGACGGACAATCTTGTTGCTCTCATCCGTATAAGGCCCACTCAAAGCACAAAAGCCAAGCTGTGCTATTTATATTTCCTCAGACAGCCCTACCTACCCCACACATTGTACAGCCGCGATCCATTTTCTACTCTGTTGTAGTGGCCACTTGGCCCTTCTCAGAGAAACTCCACTTCTTGCAGGGCTCTGCGTGGTTGCGTGATCCCCCTGAAGAGCAGACAAGTCCCACAGGAGTTTTTAGATTGTTTCTGCCCCCCACAAAATTGAAGACACTACTCATAAACAGCTGGAACAGGTATCTCTTGGAATTCTCCTAAAACTATGAAAACAGACTCCAGCATGTCTGCCTGCAGGCGATGTAACCAGAATGCCTCGTGCAAAAAAACAGGGAGTCCCCTGCATCTGCTAGTGCGGAGAGCAGCCCAGCCCTCAAGCTACCATTCCCAGTCTTTCTCAAAAAGATGAAGCTGTACATCATGAGCCAGATTTTCCTTAGAGCCCAGCTCCCACATCAGCCCCAAAATAAATGACCATACTTTTTAGAAACTCAACACCTCAACGCCGTGTGCTACATGCATTTAGAAGTTTGACTGTAAGAAAATCAGGCCTTTGACATTTGTAAGAATACGTTTAATTGTCAAAAAATATTTGGAGGAAAAATTCCATGCTTACATAACTGCTGAAATACACAGTTCTTTCAAATTAAGGTAGCACTGTCCTGTTTTACAGCAGTAGCTATTTACATTAGACATCCATTATCTATCTAATCATGAGCTGTAGTACCCTAGCTTTCTTATGTCCTAAAAATGAGGAGGTTTGGGGTGAAGCCACTTTATTTTGGCTTCATTAGCAAATACACTAACCAAATTTGACTGTTCGATGTCCTAAATTCTCTGAAAGATAGGAGTCCAGGACAGACGGCACAGAGCAACTCCTGCAGAGCTCTGTTCATATGTGCTGCTATTAAGTACACGTAGTCACTCGACATCAAATTCTTTAGGCAGGAAAGTCCCCCTTACAATAAGAATACAGAACTTCTACATACTTAGCAGCTCGTCAAAAGTCTGCCATCTTTTTTTTTTTGGTAGATTCATTTTAAAACTCAAAGATGGGGTAATTTGGAGGGGATTTGCTTTTTTTTTAATGTTATTCTCAAGAATTGATCTAATCCCCTTCAAAGTGAAGTCAATCTGAAAACACTGACCTCGATCGAAATCGGATCAGTCCCAGACAAAATCTGATAAGAGTGTATTTGAGAGAGCGAGTAAGTGAGAAAGCGAGTGTACGTACATATGTGACTGCAAGTAATGGTCGGTAGACATTTCCCTCAATGCCTTGACCTTAGCAGGACCCACTGGAAGTAGTTTTCAGTACTGCATTTTTCCCCAAAATTTTGAAACTAGAAAGACAAATATGCTTTAGGCTCATCTCTACAGGTCAAGCTTTCGCTGAAAAAATTTGATTTTCTTTTTCTCCTAATCTAACAGACAGCTGAACTCTTGCATGTAGTCTGATCTCTTCTCACAAGGTGCTGAAAGATGTTATTTGCACTCCTGAAATAGTTCCTTTCATAATTGCTGAAGATTCAATGCTGAGAGAACAATCAAACATCTAAGATGAGTTTACCCCTTCTTCTCCAAAGGAAAAGACTAATAAATCTTTGCATTTTTTACCCATAGCATCAGAAAGTGTAATTGTGCAGGAAAGTTAATCACAGCTTTTCAGAAGCAGCTTTTTCAGAGTTAGAAATTAGTAATAATATTATTCACCATTACAGAATTAATTAAATTATCAAGAGAGTACCTAATGCAACCTTTGACAGGTGGTGGTATCTTGGGAAATGGAATGCTGAACTAGATAACTGTGCTTTTGTAATTTTTTTTTTAGAATAGACACAGTTAGGGAAAAAATAATTTCCAGATTTAAACTCCCCAGGGTGGGGCCCATCATGAAGTTTTTGTTTTATAGACTCTTAATACATTGCAAATATTTCATCATTATTAATACTTAAACGCAGAAAGATATTAGCAAATGTGTAATCCCACGGGAATCAACGAGGCTTCTTGCAACGAATAGCACTGTTCAATATCAATAAAGTGGCAGAATATAATCTTTGAATGCCTTTAAAATGTACACACAAAAATATCACTTCTTTGTGTATAGAGTTTTATTATTTAAAAGCATTAGCATGATCTGTTTTGCAGAATCCCAGACAAAATACCACTCTTTTCATTGATGTCCCTAGAATCACTGACTGTGATAAAATATTCATATGAATAAATCAGGACAAAATATTGTAACCTGATGTTTCTGCAAATATGCAGTGCAGGTCACACAGTCAGTCTAGGTTGGTAATTTCTGAAGAATTACATTTCCATAATTACAGTAAGATACAAACTCTACAAATCCTGTCCCTCTCAGGAAAAAATAAAGCAGAAAAGAAAACCCCCAAAACAAAAGCAAGGCTCTCCAAATCCCCCAAACATTTAAACTTCTTCAGAATAAAAAGTTTCCATAAATAACAGAGTGACCGGCTATTTTTCCTTACACAAAGCCTTACTATCCAGGCTTCTGTACAATGAAAATTAAGCAGTGACATTTTTATGGAGTGCAAACTATAGAATACTGCAACTATTAAAATAACCACCTATTTTCTTTGTAAGAAATAATAATTATTGTTTTGAGAATGGTACAAAAGTCGCACCAGAAATCAGCAGGAGAAGCTCTGAGAGAGACTGTGGGTTGATACCCTTTAGAAATATTCTCCATTACCAAAAATCTATGTTTCCATTGCATGCAGGGAAAGTGGTTACACTATTGCAGCGGACTGCAAAAATATAACAAGTTCTTCCAGGGGATTCCCTCTGGTCCCTGCATAGCAACCTTAATTCTCATTGTATGGGTCTGTCTTTGGCATAGCAACGCAGCACAAAAGTAGTATAGGCAAAGGTATTTATTACTCAGATATATTAATAATATTACTACCTGTTTCTTTCTACTATCCAAACACCAAAATCCCACTCTTGGATTTTGCTTTTAAATTCACCAAATTAAGATATAATCAAGAGTTTCTCCACCAAAAAATAGCTTAATTTGCGTCAGCAGCGTCTGTCACAAATCTGTACGCTTGCTCCCATGTCTCCTGGTTCCCCAGAGCAAGATCACTCATTCACCCTTAGCGTCAAGGTTTACTTAGACTTCCTGCATAAGTGTGAGAATTTTCATGAGTGTACAAAAGGCTCCATTTCACATGAAACAAGCCTGGAGAATTTCTCACTTGTGCTCTCTAGCCTCACAGTCAAATCACACTAAATTCCATGCTAGAAAATTGGTCTGAATTACAAATCATTCGTTCCGGGGTTTTTTTGCCCAATAACTTTACAATATACAAACTCCTTGCCATAGTCTGTTCTCAACTGATTCACTCAGCGGTTGTTCTGTCCTCACTACAATCGTCTATTGCAATAGCTTTGCCACTGGTTTCCTTCAGAAGCAGGATTGTTTTTTTACATTCAAAGAAAAATACTACTCGATAATCATGAACAATAATAAACCAAAATGAACAGCTCCCAAAACGACAATCTGCTAACATTTAGGATGCTTCGGAAGGATCTGGAAGCTTGCCAATTTCCTACCTATTTTCATAACCCACAAGGAATGTTCTATTTAAACAATTCCCTTCACTCTTCTTGTTTTGCAATGTTTGTTGCTTCTGCAGTGCATGTAGAGGTCTGTTATTTTTCCATGGCTAGATCTATGCTTCCCCAAAAGCCTGAAAAAAAGAGCTTCCAGTAAATATATATATATAACTGGTTAGATTGCCTGCATGATGTCAATATGCTTGAGTATTTCAGCCTTTCAGGCACGATAAAACTACAAATGCTTAACCTCTGAATCAGAGAGTTTTACAGGCCCTGATACTCGCTAGATTCCTGAGCCCATTATGATCAGCTCTCCTTTCAAACTAGTAGGAAGTGCTTTCATTTTTTTTGTTTTTCTTCCCTCTTTTACTGTGATCAGCACTAGATGTTTCTCTATTCGTCTCTGACACTGTCTATTATTAACACAGAGGATTCTAACTGAATCATTAACTATTTCACTCACTTTTCCCCTGTGACCCAGTATGAAAGTTTGCTCTGATAAGGAAGGCTAACTCCAGACAGGAAAAGAGACAGAAACATGATATTCCGCTTGCTTTTCTTGTTTTATATTAAAGGAAAATCCAGTGCTTATTGCAGGCGCAGGGGTTGAATATCAAGCAAACCAAAGCAGTTAGCTCAAATAAAAAAACTGAAAGCTTCAAGACTTGCAGGTTACAGACAAAAGAACTTGGCAATATGTACAAGCAAAATAGCAAAGGCAGACCCAAATACTAATGAGCTCAAAAAACTGTTCTGTATTTTCTCCAGTGTTTCTATCTGTCCTAGTCAGTGAGAACAACCCTGAGGCTGGGGTTACTGTCTCTTGTTATTGTAAGATGCATGCCACAAGTCTGAAATAGTATCACTCTCTGTGTAGTGATACACATGTTGCCTCTCAAATAGAAAATACTTCCAAAGACCAATTTACAATACCCCCTTCCAGAACCCAGAACATTCTTGTTTTTTCAGTTAAGCAGCAATTCAGATATTTTGATACTTCTGGTCTTTTGCAGTGAGTGTGTAGGGCCGTTCTCACTACCTTCATTAAAATTGCTGTTAAATGCAGCAAAAGTATCAAACCTGCTCTCTTAGAATATATAGACTATGTTAAAACATGAACGAGAGCGCCATTTCAGACCCACCTCAATTTGAAACACTAGACAGGACTAGAGGAGTTTGGGAGAGCAGCGGACCGTGCATTGCGATGCAACTCTTAGCAATGGAAACAAAACATAAAGAAGATGTGGGATAGCTCCTTACCTGGTAGATCATGACTTTGAAGTTCCTGCGCTTCAAGAGCTCCGCTTCGTTGGCCTCTAGCTTCTTTATCTGCCCAGCTTGCTTCTCCAGGTTCTGCCGAACGGTTTTCACGTTGACGCTCACCTTGCGCACTTTTTCCAGCATCTTATTCACGGTGTTACTGGTGGTGGTATGCGCCTTTGTGAGCTTGGTCAATTCTCCTTGGATGCTGGTCACTGCGCTATCCATCTCTTGCTGTCTCTCTTCCAACTGTGTTTGAGTCAGTTGGATCTGATCCACTGCTCCAATGATCTTGTCCAGAAGGGTCAGCACCATCACACCATTGATCTGGTCTGATTTGATGGGTTCCTCTGGCACTTGCTCTTCTGAGGCCTCAGAGGCAGTTGGTGGTTCAATAATTTGCAAAGTGGTATCCTCCATGACTGCTTGGGAGTCCTGGCTAGCAGAGCCTGGAGAAGCTGTCACTGCAGGGAGGAGAGAGAGGAGGGAAAACTAAACCCGAGCCTCAGCTAAACTCTGTGCTGGGAGACACGCCAGAAATGGAGAGCACAGTGTGTGGATGTCTGTGCTGAAATTCAAATGGCACAGCTCTGCAAAGCTGTCCAGTGAAACTGCCCTGCAAAATTTTCCAGGCTTGCAGGTCATTGGCTGACTCCACCTCAGCTATATAAAAGGAGCCCGCTGCCAAATGCCTGATGACCCACCCTTTCTGAAATGATTAAAATAGTTGGAAGGGAGGCGATGGCTTTGCATGCAAACACAGGCACAGCTCAGTGAGGAATGCAAAGCTCTAAAACTCCAACAACCTCTTTTTACCATAAGTCTAAAAGGCATTTAAGCAGAACTCCAATGAACCCGTCTGAAAGGAAAAAACAAAAACCTTGTGTAAACGTCTCAGGAAACTGCCGAAAAGAAACAAACCTCATCTGGGCACAGCTGCATACATTAAAGGAAGGCTAGTTTAAAATAACTGCTCACTTCAGTGCAGAGGTTCAGTTAGAAAATTCAGATTTTACCAATAGTTACCACTTTTGGGGGGACTATGAGAGCCTGATTTTCAATATTTTAAAGAAAGACTACAATCTGGATTGAATAGTGATGGCATTTAATTTCTGAATCATAAAAATGCAGGCTCCCATGTGGATATGTATGTATTTGCGAGCACGTATGTTCATATACACAATACGTGCGTACATTACGCATGCAGCGTGCATCGCAACGCTAGGTAGATTTAATATAGAAAGAATAAATATAATTTGCTCATGAACTGAAGCAACTGGACAGTCTCACCTAGAAGCAGCTATCTCAACTCTGCAAGCCTCTATTCATCTACAAATCTAGCCACTAGCATTTTAAATGCAGGATCTACTTCAGCACATGCCATGCAGAAATGTACTTGTAAGCAATGTTCAAATATGCTGGATTGCATAAGGCTTTCTTGGTAAAAAATATTAATTATTTCAGAACTTAACAGTGTATAAATTGCTTTGGAAAACATGGGGAAGAAATGACCCTTGTTTCATTAACTTAACCTTGGTATCAACACAAAGCACTTTACAGAGTCTTATACAGTGTTGGCAGAAATTTACGGCTTGTGGAACCATCACCAGCTTATTGCCTTAAAGATACTTTGGAGGTGCTACCAAAGACCATCTCCAACAACCCAGTAGGACCAAGCACAGGCATGTGAAGAAGCAAAATTCAGATCTTCAGAGTAACTTCTGGGTGAGACCCTTTCACTATTACTGGTGTTGGGTCAGCCAAAGAAATCAAAATCCCAAGGATACAGCTGCACTGTGAAGTCTCCTGCCTTGGGCAGCAGCAAACTCTTCCAGGTTCAGCTGAAGAGCTGTGGACAGAGTGGGAAAGTTGCAGTTTCCCTCTTGCTCTGTAGCCTTGACAACAAGCAATTCATATTCAGCACATCCTGCCTCCGGTCAGGGTCATGCCTGCCCTTGCAATTTGCCACAGATTGGCAAATAAAATGAACGCCATACAGTATTTGGGTTGTTCAGTCTCATAGCCTACCTCAAGGCAGTCTTGGAAGAAATGCTTAATTCCTAGCACACAAGCTGGGAAACCCACTACGCACAAACATATGTATAGGAACACTGTTTAATGATGAATGCTTACTACAGTCAGCACTTTCAGCGCCCCAGTGTTCTCTGCCACGTGACAGCTTGCTTGTTATGCTGTTGTATCCACACTACAGCATTGATTTAGGTTTGGTTTCACTGTGCATTAGTAAATACATATAGTGGGGGCTGCATAGCACAATTATGTCATATATTAAAAATAGCTTGCTTTTTTAACATTGTCTTTTTCCTGGAGGGACCTTTTTCCTGAGGATTTATTTCCAGTGTTTGGTGCTGATGAGTCAGTTCCACGTAAAAAGCCTCATTCCTGCCAGATAGCACTGAGACTCTGCAGTTGTTTTTCACTGGGGATATCTGCTTGAAAGCGGACTTCCACAGATATCTGTTATGAAGTTTAATATACAGTACAGGAAGCAAGCAGAATAGTGTTTTCTTTCTAGTTCTGCTATTAATTCCCTGTGTGATTTCAGTGATGTCTCTGTGCCTTAGTTTCCCCATTTGAGAATAACAACAACAATGTCAAAAAGCAAGCTGAATACCTAAGACAGAACAAGATAAAATGACAGAACAGGAACTCAGTTTAGGTCTTGATATTTAGTAGAAGAGGTGAAGTGCCATGCTCTATGGCTGCTGTGCACGTAGCACTCACACCCCAAGCTAAAACGCGATGAGTAATTTTCTATGTTAGGACTAATTTCACTTCAGCCATTTTCTCCCGTGGAGACGTTACCAGGAAGGGCCAATAGGTGGCAAACTGCAGCCTTCCCTTTGAAGCCTGAACACTGATTTGAACACGTAGGACAAGCCAAAGCTGTCTCAGTCTCCTCCAGGCAGAATGATTTCTGGCTGATCTTATTGTTGCATGATATAATTTGGTCTTTGGATTTTTTGTTAAGCTTTTACCGTCCCTTAGATATTATTGTTTATTCCACTATGTCATCTATTTTACAGCATCACTATCAAATTCTTTATAGGGACATGGAAGACACAGTGCAATCAAAGACCAGTGTATTTCAGCTTCAAAGAAAAACTCTACCAAATGTATGTGAGACAGCAAAGGAAAACAATATGCAGCATCTGCTTCCACTTCAGTACATGGAAGTTCTTGTGACTGATGGAAACTCTGCTCAACTCTCTAATTTCATAAAATAGCAAAATATAGCTGCTTAGGGCCTTTTTGAAACGAGCAATGACCTTAGCTTGCAGTGGACAGATTCTCTATTTAAAAAAAAAAAAATCACAAATTGCAATTGCCACAATTTGTCCTGCACCTTAGCTCAAGTAAAGAGAAAATGGATTGGACAGAGAAAAATAAATAAAATTACTCCCCCTGTCTTCCAGAGACCTGAGGACAAATAGACTGGGAAAAAAATATGCAATATCTGTGTAATTGTCTCCATTATTAGATGCATCCTACAGACATCCTACAGAGAATTCAGTCTTACGGACCACTAACAATGCAATGCATTTCACAGGCACTACACTCATTTTCTGACAAATAGATGTTATTTAACCTTCCAAACTTGCTCACTCTTTCAAAACCAGTTTGAGGGATTATGTCAAATATCTGAATAAAAACAAAAAGAGAGTATTAGCAGTCATACCATACCACTACTGCCATTTCCATAAACGCAGCTCTTTCCTAACACATGCTGACTTTGCTACAGCAGGGCGTAGTTCGCTACGACTGCAGTCTACCATGCTGACCAATGCGATGTCTTTGTCTCCTGGCACTGCTCTATCTGACTGTACATATCTGCACGTGGTCTTCTGCCTCACAACGTAAGCTCTTAGAAATAGTGGTTTGGGTTTTTTTTTCCTGTTTTGAGCAGTATCCACACATCCATCATTGCTCCTCTGTCAAAGCATAACAAATGAATACATAACAACAATAATTAGTATCATCTGCTCCACAGGAGACAAATGACTCTCTGGTTCCCTAGGAGGCATCCACACCTCCTTTTTGTTGTGCACAACTAGGGGCTTTCAAAACGAAGACAACTGTGTGAAAAAGGATCTGTGGTTAAATTGAATTTTCCCTGTTGCAAGAACTCTTTTAACTGTAATAAAGATCAAGCACTCACTCAAAGCCACTATCAATAAGTAGAAAACGCACTTAGAAGTTTAACGTATCTTAACTTAAATCTAGTTCACTGATGACTTTTGACTTCCTTCCCATAGGACTGTGCTTCCATTAACAGACTAAAGCGTAGAAACCTCTTGATCTGCAAAGAGGTTTCTTGCATTTCATTAGCTTTCCAAGCACGATACTCAGAAGTCGGCCTGCAGGTTGCTGGAGAGACTTGCCAGTCCGTTGAAACGTGCTTCTAGGACACAGGGACTTCCCTCAGGAGACCTATTCTCTGCTCTCCACGTACTCCCACCGTTCCACTGGCTTTAACAAGATAACTTCGATCTTAGGCCAGCTCGATGCAGATGGTGATGAGACTCCAGAGCAGGAGGCTCACGGCTGCGCTGCGGGGCAGGGGGGTCCTGCCTCCCGCGGACCCCACGCGCGAAAACCGGCCGGAAAGGGGCGAGGAGCGACCCAGGCGCACGC